TTCAATTTCGACCTTCCAAAATGAATCACTTCACACTTTTCAGGCTGAATTCCATCTGCCACTTCTTTGTCCAGCTCTGCATCCTGTCAATGTCCTGTTGCAACCTACAACAGCCCTCCACGCTGCCAACAACTCCACCAACCTTTGTGTCATCAGCAAACTTACTAACCCACCCTTCCACTTCTTCATCCAAGTCATTTATAAAGATCACAAAGAGCAGAGGTCCCAGAACAGATCCCTGCAAAATACCACTAGTCACCGAGCTCCAGGCTGAATACTTTCCGTCTACTACCACCCTCTGTCTTCTATTGGACAGCCTTGGGGTTTTCCTTGATCCACCAAGGCTTTCTCATACCCCCTTCTAGCTCTACTGAGTCCATTCTTCAGTTCCTTCCTAGCTACCTTGTAGACCTCTAGAGCCCTGTCCGATCCTTGCTTCCTCAACCTTAAGTAAGCTTCCTTCTTCCTCTTGACTAGGCGTTCCACATGTCTTGTCATCCAAGGTTCCTTCACCTGATTATCCTTTCCTTGCCTCAGTGGGACAAACCTATCCAGTACTTGCAGCAACTGCTCTCTAAACAACCTTTACATTTCTGTCGTGCATTTCCCTGAGAACATCTTGTCCCAATTTATGCTCCGCAGTTCTTGCCTAATAGCATTGTAATTCCCCCTCCCCCAATTAAATACTTTCCCACATCGTCTGCTCCTATCCTTCTCCATGACTATAGTAAAGGTCAGGGAGTTGTGATCACTATTACCGAAATGCTCTCCCACCGAGAGATCTGACACCTGGCCTGGTTCGTTGCCAAGCACCAAATCCAATATGGCCTCCCCTCTAGTCGACCTATCTACATATTGAGTCAGAAATCCTTCCTGGACACACCTGACAAAATCTGCTCCATCCAAACTATTTGCACTTAGGAGGTTCCAGTCTATATTAGGGAAGTTGAAGTCACTACTAGTTAAGCTCCAGATGGATTATAAATATCTAAGACCCAGGTTTTAATCAATATTAATGACAGATGAGTGTAATGTATCCAAGTTTGCTATGAAGTGGCAAAGTAAGCCTGAGGATTATGGAAAAGTTTACAGATAGACTGGGTATGTTGTCAAGAACATGGCAGATGGAGTAAAATGTGTTCAAGTGCAAAATTATCCATGTTGCTAGGAAAAGTTGAAGAGCAAGCGCCCTATGAGGAAAGATGGATGAGACAAGGCCTGCATATTCTGTCATTCAGGAGACTAAGACATGATCTAATTGAAGCAGATAAAATAATTTAGGGAGATAGGGTAAATGCTGAGAAAATATTTCCCCTGGCTGGGAAATCTAGAACATGGGTCACAGACTCAGAATATGGAGTCAACTATTTAGGACTGAATGAAGAGAAACTTTTTAACTCAAGGGGTTGCAAATCTTTGGGGTTCTCTACAACTGAGAATTGTGGATCTCCACGTTTGTGCATATTCAAGACAAGGTTCAGAGCTTTTCAATACTAAGAGACTGAAGGGATATGAGAATAATGCAGGATGGTGGAAATGAAGTAGATGAGCGGTGATCTTACGAATGACACAACAGGTTTGAATAAATCAATTGCAATCTCCTTCTGTAGTTCATATACTATGTTCCATAATCTGTTCTTTTATTTACACACTTATAAAAAACTTGAATCATGTTCTATTGTGTTGTCTTTATACCATCTATAATACTTTTGGTTTCTTTGCCATATTCCATTTAATACATATATACCATAATATAGCTTTATATTCTCCATTATTTACCCTAGATATTTTAACTGACAAAACAATATACATCAAGTGTTGCTTGAAAAAAACATATTTCAATTTATAAAGCACACAGCAAATCCTGAGGACATCCCAAAGTGCTTCACAGCCAAGAATTACTTGTTGATCTGCAGTCACTGTACGTAACCACAATGACGTCCTTACATACAGAAAAGTCTTACGAATAGACTATCACAGAGATCGGTCTGATTCACCTTGTTTTTGCTCACAGTTGACAGCGCAGCCAAGAATGAGCTGTAGCATTCGTCCAAGTTCTGCTGCATCTGAGTGTTCTCCTATCATATTAACATCTGGCAAAGGGAAGTCTGTAATCTGTTGTCCCAAGACCTGTAGAACAGATTAAATTAAAAGTTAGCACTGTCATTTTTACCAAATGAATGGAAGGAATAAACCTTGGTCTACAACAATCAAAAATATACCTGAGAGTCCGATTCATGTTAACACAGTTCCAGTTTTGAGTGTTTAATTGCTTACTTTGGAGAGATAACTCTAGAAGGTGTGTCTACAGAAACTAGGGGCCATTGTGGTACAGCGATAGTGTCCCTACCTCTGGACCAGAAAGTCTGTGTTCAAGGCCCACTGTGAGTAATAACATTTCTGAACAGGTAAAACAGAAGATATCTATGTCTGCTGGAAGTCAAATTTTACAGCATTTGCCTAATTATTCTTTCTTCCATTTCACTTGCTCTGAAGTTGGCTGTGACACTGATTAAATGCTTTTAGTGCAAAACATCCAAAGGATCAATTAGTTTCTGGAAGTGTTTCATTAAGTTATCCATAAAAAGAATGAGAGTTTATCCTTAAAATTAGAGTTTTCATTGTGGGTGTTAGAATTCTAATTTTAAAACATGCATTTCAGGTACAAAATCCAATGTAGCAAATGCTTTAAAGTTTTCCATATTCTTAACACTCATGCAAAGAGAGCTAGCTTGTTATTTTTCGACAAGGATTTTTTTTCCCCTCAAAATACATAAAACAAACAGGGTTACATCGTCTTAAGACCAAACAACGTGTATGAGCCAGGTAGGGTGAATTCAACATTCAAATAAGATGGTAAAATGGAAAATAAATGATGTCGAGCATAAATTCAATGCTGTGTACTTCAGTTAAGGACTAAAGGACAAACAAGTCTAAAAAGGTCTGTAATTCAGATTATCTCCTTGAGAAAACAATATTTTGTTTTATATTCATTCATGAAATGTACATATTGTTGGCTAGACCAGCATTTATTGTCTGTCCCCAACTAACATGGAGATGGTAGAAGTGAGCCTCTTAAACCACTGTAGACCTCGGGGAATAGGGACACTCAGAGCTTTCACAGCAGGATTCCAGGATTGCAACCCAGCAACAAGCATCAGCGATACAGTTCCAAGTCAGAATTATGCTTGGCTTGGAGAAGTTGCAGTCGATGATGTTAAAGTATATCTGCTGCCGTTGTCCTTCTAGGTGAGGTGGTCACAAGTTTGGAAGGCATTGTCGGAGGAGCCTTCGTGAGTTCCTGCAGTGCATCTTGTAGATGGTATACGCTGTTGGCACTGTGCATCATTGGTGAATGTAGTGCCAATCAACTGAGCTGCTTTTCTGGGATGGTGTTGAGCAGTGAAAAGCATTCCATCAGATTTCTGACTTGTAGATGGTGGCCAGGACTTGGGGAGACAGCAAGTGCACTATTCACTGCAGAATTCTAAGCCTCTGACCTGCTTTTGTAGCGACAATAT